ATTCATTATGAAATATCCAATTCCGCCAAAGTAGTGATACTTTGTGGAAATGAATCTAAACGTACATACTCAGAATTCACATCCGTATCCCACCTTGCTACAAGGTGAGCAACCGTTTTTTTTTTTTTTAGAGAAAGCAACGGTGTTACATGCTCTCTTAACATGAGAAAATAAACAAACATTAAAAAGCCTCCCTAGCGCTCTTAATATCATCATAAATAACAAAAATGGGGAAGATATGGTACATGTTGAAGATCACACCTTAAAAATTAAGATGTTTTCGAGATTCTATGAAAATCGATCTATTTCCAATAGATTTATAGAGATTCTATTTAATTTCTAAATCATTTTTATCAAATTTTTGGATCATTTCCCAAATGTACAAGTGCTTATATTTGGTTAACATATAAATTAAAACAATGTCATAATATTTTAACTTAAATTTACAACGTGTACTATATATGTTCCTATAGATTTACATATGAAATAAACAATTGCCTAATATACACTTTTATTACGGATTATTGATCAAAGTTAATAAGGTTCAAACCTCCCAACATTAAGTAATCAATCTCATAATGATGAGTTTGGCAAATAATGATGTCAAACTTTAACAAATGAATACATTAAACTTTCACCTTATCAAACATTTCAAACTACATATCAATAAGGTGACTAAAAAATTGTACTTTTTTCACAAATAAAATTATCTTTGACCCCATTGAAATTTAACAACCAATGTTTTTTGTAAGGAGCTAGGCAGCCAGCTAGGATGGTGTCTAAAATGGCGTGTAAAGTGAGAGTAGATAAGATCCTGTTTGTAAATAAAGCTTTTATGCTTTGTAGTAAGCATAGCATCATTCTCTTCCTTTTGCCATTTTTTGCATGCCCTTATCTTTGCATTCTCTTAAGTCTTCAACCCTCTTTATTAAAGATCTGCGTCACTAGCATTCAAGTTGGAGTTTAAAACATTAACCCCTAATTCTTTTGAATATAATCTAGCTTACATGCAGTATAGATTTATTATGTACACCTAAGTACGACTGTACGAGTATACTTAGGATCAACCAGATATACCCTGCAAATACAAACTTATAAATGGCTCATCTAAAGCATGTATGATCCAACTAAGCTAGCTGCACTATGATCCATCTAAAAATTTATGTATATAGCCACCCTTTGTATTTTTTTTTAAGCTCGTTGAGTCAGTCGAGTAAATATAAGTAATTACAAAAACAATTCTTTTGTTTACTACAAAGGTCAAAATTATCCATCGAAAGGCCAGGTCATTTACTATGTTTCTTAATGATTTTGTTTTCCTACGGCCAAAAGTGGTAGTTGCATAGATTCAATCTAACTGACGATGAGAAAGTAGGGCAACAGAAAAAAGTAGTATTAAGAAGTTGAAGTAGGTCAAAATGAAAACCAATGACATAAACAGATGAGGTACTTTGGTATAATGCAAGCCGCAAATTAAATATCTATATGAAAAAAAAAAAATCTTATTTTTAATTTTATAGAGTAAATGAATATATTTATATATTTTTTTTAGCTAAGATGATGTATGCATGTAATAAAAATGCCTTTAATTTTTGCCCTTATCAAGATATTGCTATGCATGTGGATTTACTTTTTTGTCTTCCATTTGCATGCATGCATGTGGGTAAAATTTGCTTTGCCATGCAATTTAGTTGATTTATGTGAAAATTAATTATACCTAAGCATATGGTTTTTGACAAATAAGATACGGAGTAATATCTACTAAGCTAGCTAATTTAATAAGTAGGCATAACCTTTAATTTAGCCGACATTTTGTTGCCTAGTTTATATAGAGTAACAAAGATAATTCAGGTTGGTTATATATGAATTGAATTTTGGATTGTACTCAAACTATTTGTTGTCTTTTATCATTTTATACAATTTGGTACGTAACATGTATGATTAATTTATATACATTAAATTTTAATGTATGAGTTAGTTTAAACTCTTTAAAGGATGGCCATGCAAATCAGATTATTATTATTATTATTATAAGTCTTTAATTTAACAAAATAACAAGTTGATGAAGTTAAAGGATGTCCATGCAAATTAGTTTATGAACAAGTTGGTGAAGTTAATTGAAGGGTGGCCATGCAAATCATTTTATCGTACGACGACCAATAGACGATGATCTTGTTCTTAACTGATGTAATTGGGTTGGGCAATTAATTAATTTGGTACAGCGTGATGCAAAAGCACTAGCAAGAAAACAATATACTATAATGTATGAATTATTATAGTGTTATACTATAATTCTACTTTTGTTGAATTATCGTTTTATAGACTAAATAGTGTCAAGACAGTTGAATAAATGTCAATATGTGTGTTTGACGTCGCTATGAAATTAATTAAGAAGTTAAATTATCCTATCTTATAATTTGACACATTGAAGTTTACTTCTCAGATTATCTATGTTCTCATCTCTAGGTTTAATTTTTTTTAATGAAAAGCAATTTTGAAATCAATAAGATCATAAGACTTATCCAACGACCACTCTACTACAAGGTACAATATTTACATATGGCTAGCCACCTTTTGATTAACATGCAATAATAACGACATGATGGCTTATAAGTAGTCAATAAAATCTGCTTTTGACCTAACTAGATTAAACTTTGAAAAGAGGAATTACCATAACGTACGAACCTCGGGTGCAAATATTTGACCTCGTTGACACACAATAAACCTATATATCCAAATTAACAGTGACTACTTACTATCTAGTAGTATAATAATTAAAAAAAAACAAAAAAAATTGATAGATGACTCAGGTAGCAATTAAGGATAAGGTGAACCTTCCCGTTTAAGGTCAATACCGCAACATTTAAGTGGTGAAAACCTTTAGAAAACTGCATGTTGTAACCTTCTTTATTACGTGTATCTTGCTTGTAAAAGCTAAGTCTATATCACCTTATACTTTGCCTTCCAACACCCATACAGTTAACACCTTTTTTTTGCCTGTGCTAGTAAACATTGACCAATTTTTTAAATTTTAATCTTCTTAAGATCAACTAGTGATATGCGATCCATATTTGATTATCCGATCCAAATAGTACATACTCGGATTACATTACTCTATAATTTCATAATGTAATACTAACGAATGGAAATAACCTAAATGAAATAAGGATAAATTACTACGGAGTATATAGATAATAAACCTAAATATATATTTCGATCCGAACTGATCAACTCACGTAATAAATAATTCATTATTACTCTCTTTGTCCTATAATACATGACACAGTCAAACATTGCACACATGTCAATGCACTACTTTGACTTTATTTTCATACAATTACATATTAATGAAAATTATTTTAAAAATTATATTATGAAACTTTATATAAACTTATCTAACAACATATTTTATGATAATTTTTTTATTTTATTATGTTAATAAAAAATTATAGTCAAACCTAATGCATGAATAGTGAAAAAAAGTTCAACATCTCATATATTATGGAACGGAGGGAGTATATTTTATACTTGATGTCCGATCCATTGTTTCACTTTATTTATAAATAATTCTTCACATCTTATATCTTACAATGTAAAGTATGAGTGCTCATTTATAGTAGTCCACTACTTTGATTTTATAGAAATTAATTTTTTTAAACATTTCTTTTTATATCAAATATGCACTTGATTTGAAGTATATAATAATAGGAGATTCTACATGCCAATAAATTCAACGAGAAGTGATAGATATATATACCGGACCTTTAGTATACGATCCTAATTTTGTGGAATAAAGTGCTAATTATATATATTGGTATTAAAACATAAGTTACTTTCAAGCATACAATTCACAAGAAGGAGATGATTCAAAGTTAATTGTGAATTTAGATCGCTATTAATGTATAAATAAATAATAATAATAATAATAATAATAATAATAATAAAATAAAAGTGTATAGCACATGTGTTTTTGTTATTTTTTGGGTATAAAAATAGTCGTATAAAAATATTGCAAGAAAAAGTATATATTGACCAAACAAGAATATTGCCAAAAAAAAAAAAACAAACATGGTAACGTAACGGAATTGACTTAGATGAAAAATTGGAAACAGTAAATCTTGAGTAAGGCAGGTGTACGTTAATTTTATTATTAGACGGTAAATTTGAGGGTAACTTTAACTATTTTTTATGGTAACTTTAACCACTTAAAGGATAGCTTTTAATTTGTTATTAGTTTGAATTTTACTTTTGTGTAATTTCTTATAGATTCATGATAACATAATATAAAAGCTAATATAATTAATCTAATACATATAAATTATTTGTTAGATAATATTTATTATTAAAAAAATATTAATTAACTTTTGTATTATAAAGAGTAACTTTAAATACTTTTACGATAACTTTAACCTGTTTTACAATAAAATAACGTACACACACGGTTTTATTAAATTTTATAGCAATTATGTTATTTATTTTAACAATAATTTACCAAAATATTATTTTTTACTTGAAACAAAATAACTTGAATTTTACTTTATGCTCATATTAAATTAGTCAAAGTTATTAAATTATTGCATAAGACTTTATAAATATAAAAACGAAAGAAAATTATGGAATGTAAGGTGTTATACTACTCCATGTATGAAAAAAAAGAAGATTTTAGATAACTACCAGTACAATACTACAATATGCTCATATATGGATATACATATTACCTTCGTTCCTAATTTGTTGTCGGTCTTTGATTGACATAACGTTTTATGCAAATTTATCTATTTTATTTTACTTTGTGATATTTAGTAAATATATGATTTTTTTTTTAAGAAAAAAATTAATAACATTCATTTACTTTTTGTAGGAAAACGATATATGGAGGCTGCATACAAACATAATATTATTTTTCATATTGAAGTAGGGGAGGAAAATTTAAATTTATATCTAATTACATATTTTTGATTGCTAAGTTAAGATTATGTATTGTATTTTATAATTTTTAGTTGAAAACAAAATTGGTGGTAAGTTTTTGTACAAAATCTTGACACATGATATTATTAGTATGACTTTTAAGAGTAGGAAAACAAAGTATATACGTTTATATTTGTTACTAAATTATTTTTCTTGTTTATTAACAGAAATAGTCTTTATTTCTACAAAACTAATAAAGTTGGAGAAATTTTGGATAATAATATATTCTAATATATTACCTTGTAATTAATGTAGAAAGGAAAATATTATTATTATAGTTTATGTTAGGAAGATTTGACCAAAATAAATCAAAAAAAGAAAAGAAAAGAAAAAAAAAAGGCGGGAAATTTTTTTAATAGAAATTGACATGTATCATTTCTGATTCGCTTTTAGTATATAGTTATTATTGATTTGTGAATTGGAAATAGTCCTCAGCTCGTTAGCCGTGTTTAATTAACTTGATTCGTCATTAGATTGTCCTAATCCATATGCTTTTCTTTTGATTAATATGAACTTTTAATTGAAAATTCAGTTTAAGCTCAAATATATGCATCTGGGTCATAAAAGTTGGTTTAGAATCATTACAGACCTCTAATAGGTTTATGTTTTGAGAATGATTGTAGTTTAATTATATGATTATTTCGAAATTTTGTTGATTCAAGTGGTGCTGAGGGATAAATTTCGAGGTCATCCATGATTTCCCATATACGCCCACAAGTTGGTCACATTAATGTTTGTGGTGTTCTTAAGTCAATAACAAGAGGCATGTCCATGATTGATTTAATAAATAGTTAAGAGGCAAATTGGACAATTATAATCACCCATATGGTCACCCGGGGCCTCATGGGGTCCATGGGAAGCACCATGACCTCAGGTAAAAAAAAGTCGAAATTCTTCGGAATCGTAGGCTATAATCCACGCTTTCAGATCATTTTTCAGAGATTTTAGGATCCGATGTAGAAAACTCATGAAATCGAAAGGGATGCATCTCGGATTCATAAAAGATTGTTTGGAACCATATATGTATGTATGTAGTCGGCTTAATCGGAGGTGTGCTCGTAATTGGATAATTTAACACTAAAAGACAAAGTAGACGGTTCCAAACACCAGTGGGCTCTTGAGGTTTAGTGGGGTCCATAGAATATATGGTCTTCTTTCCTTTTCGGGTACAAAATTGTCGGAAATTTCCAAAAGTAAAGGTCAACCCATGCTTTCAGACATATTTCAGGAAGTTTTTCAAAAACTATGGTGGGAATGGGGGTTGTTTCTCATGGTCATAAAAGTTGCCTTGAAACCATAAGGTCCATAATAGACTCATCAATAAGCCTCTAAAGTCTCGAGACTGAATTTGATTCAATTAAATGGTTATTTAGAAAATATGTTGTAGTGGATGGTTTCAATCGCAACTAGGCATCCTAGGTCTTACTAAGGTGTCAAGAATCCTTCATTACGCACCCACCTTTGTCCAGGGGCGGATCATTGAAGAGGCTCAATGGGGCTTGGCCCCTGATAGGTTTAGGAAAAAAAATTGAATATGAAAAGGCTTAAAGGCCCATAAAATACACACTATTTATCTAAGAAAGCAAGTCAAATAAATAGGAGTACTACCCCAATTCCCAACAAAACACTGACAACCCCACTACCCACAAAGCCCGCCCTCTCTCCCTTGTTATCCATTCTGCCATCAAACCACCAATTTAATGAACTAAAGTATATATGCACTTATTCCAAGGGAGTACAATTAAAAGGCTAAAAACAAACATCAGTAATTATCAGTTTCAATTTTTTTTTAACTGTTACATTAATGATATTATTCTATATTACATTAATGATAGTATTAAATTTGTGAATAACTTTGGTATGTATTATTAAATTTGTGAATAACTTTCGTACGCTTATTTTATTATATTGTTGTTTTAGACGTAAAATTATATAAGAAATTATTGGCCCCTAAAAGAAAAACTTTCAAGATCCATCACTGCCTTTGTCGATGCATAGGTTGTTTATATTGGTGTTACACCCACCATTATCATTGTTGATTTTGGTTGTGTTCAATTGTTCATAGTGAAGGCTTAGTGAAAGTATCCAAAACGGGGCCTTATGGAACCATGTTGATAATAATACTAGGATACCTTTTTGAGATATGGGGTGACTTTCCTTGATTAGGAAAATGGTTTTTGACGGAACATGAGCGTATATCATATAAGATTTGAATTTGGTATTACCATCTTTCCTGGATAGACCAATCTTAGACACAATATTTTGTGCAATGCAAAAGTACATGGACAAAAGTTACCTAATATATTTCTTTTGCCTGAAGGCAATGGGCGAACTATCAAGTTGGCTGCATGTGGATCACAGTGCACAAATCCATGTTTGTAAATCATCTCTGCAAAAGCCTCGCTAATCTACAATCAATTACAAATCATCAACCTTATTAGACAATACTGAAGGCAGAAATACAAATTTTGGACAAAAGGATTTCAAAAAATGTACAAATGAAGGTTCAATGTAACAAAATAAACTATCGGAATACTTTATATGAACCCCTGTCAAACTAGTTATCCAACTCCAAAAAATTTGCAAAGTGGATATTATTGGGATTAAAGTGGGGAAGAACATTTATATAAAATAAAAAAAATTAAAAAAAAAATAATAAAATAAAATCAGAATCAGAGGTCATGTAATGCCAGGACCAAGCCATGGTATGCTAAGCTATACCAAAACCATGACAAGCTATCAAGTGCAGCAAAATAAGGAAAATTACCAGTCTGGAAACATCGTATGGTAGAATTCCCATTTTCCGAATGCCCTTCACATCATCAATTTGAACACCATCTATATACTCCATAGTTAGCAATTTTTTGGTACTCTTGTTCCAGTAGACCAATGGAACGTATATACTGTCTGATATATGTGGTGATAGTTTCTGAAAATTATGCAAACATCTTTGACTGTTCTGTGCCTCCACCAAGAAGTTTAGTTCCTGATAGCCACAACAACGATAATTATATCAGGCCCTTGCATCTAATAAATAAAATCCAATTACTTGAGCATTTAAATCACATACACATAGTTTAAATGATATTAAATAATAAACCAAATATGTAAGACAACTGGAAGATAAAGGCTAGATAAGTCATGACAATACATCAAATCCAAAAAAAAATATTTCTACTCTTGAATACCTTAATCAGTATCTTCTACAGGAGTTAACTCAAGAAATCTAGATACTAGAACTGCTTCAAATCTATTACTAGATACCAATCCAATGAAAACAGATCTAGGTTTCTTAGCTGCATGCTCTGCGAGCCCCAACTTAATAGTAGACCAAAAGCCTGGTCAGAAGACTCGGATCTGTGAGACTATTATTACAGAATTCTCAACCACAAAGGTAGATCGACCCTAATGTACGTTAATAAAACTCAGTGCATTTATTTTTAACACTCCCTCCAAAATCCTAACAGAAATTGCGTGAAAGGTAAGAAAGCATCATTCATTGCATTTACTTTATTTCTGTGAAATTTCAAATTTCAATCATGCTTTGGGACAGCAAAATTCAGAAATTTTCATCATTGTCTTCAGGCAGAAAGAATCCAACATAATATGGAAAGCCAGAAAGGTGTCCCAGGTATAAAGAAAGACAAAGTGACAAACACCAATGATTACTAATATCAATAAATTTTCATTTGATTTCCCATGACTTAGAATTTAGTTACAACAACGAATCAGCATACAACCATTAAGAAAGAAGATAGAGCAAAGGGCGGAATCACAGAATTCTTCAGATGTGACCAACAAAAACAGATAAAACTACATACACAGAATTAGCTTTTTCAGAATGAAGAACACCAGAATTAGCATATTGATAAAGCAAAGGTACAGCCTTAATCAAATAATGATATCTTGTAACAAAACATTACTCCTTCCATCCTCACATCATATACTCGTATTGATGACCTTTCGTGCCTTACGGACTTACGGTAAAGGTTATAATGTCAGAGTAAATTAAGTAGTTTTTTCAATCATGCCCTTGCTCACTCCACCTTATAAACCCATCTCCTCAAATTAGAAGCTTGGTCAGTCCCCAATCTTTGTCAACCCCCAACAATTATTCAATTACCTTGAATAGGATATTTACCCCACCAAAACTCCAGTGATATGGCCCCCTACTTATTTAATGAATCCCCTACTAAATACACTTAGTATGCGTACCATTCGCAAGAAAGTGGGTGTCGTGGGCATTGCAGACAAACTAAGGGAAAATCACATGCGTTGGTTCGGGCATGTAAGACAGAAAATCCTAGGTGCACCAGTATGAAGAGTGGAAAAGTGGGATCATGGAGAGGTTAAACGAGGTAGAGGAGGACCGAAAATAACTTGGTTGGAAGGAGTTAGGAAGGATATGAAGCATATGGATTTGCTTGAGAATGAGGTATTTGGTCGCAAGGGGCGAAGGAAAAAGATTTTTGTGGATGACTATACGGAATAATCACTTTTGGTTCATGTAGCCGACCCCACTTATAGGATTAAGGCTTTGATTGATTGATTGATATGCGTTCCCAAGCATAAAAAGACAATTATCGAGGACGGAGCAGGGAATTCAGTCACATAACCTTCTCTCTCTCTCTTTCTCTCTATCTATCTATCTCACACACACACATTTAATCACTCCCCTATTATATTTTCTTAACATGCGTGCCCAAGCATAAATGGACAATTATTTGAGGACAGAGAGAGTGGTCGTTTAACTATCATTAATAAAGGGAAAAGCAGGGAATTTAGTCACGTAATCTTGTTCTTTTCATGATAAATCATGGAAGACTAGTTTAATCCATGTGCTACAATTATAAATGCCCATCTGATGAGTCATTTGGCAAAGAAACATATACATGAAATCCAGAACAGTCAATAATGAAGTCTCATAGACTTATAGGGAGTAAATAGTCATATCAGCACCAAGCTACCAAGTAGATGCATATAAGCCAGATAAAAGAGTCAAAGAAGTGATTTAAGGTCAAATGAGAAGGAGCTAAGACTTTTTTGCCTTTTTTTTTCTTAACAGAGTGCATGTTTTATTAGCTGCAACTTTTAGAATTTAATAACACGTGCAACTTTATTTAAAAGAATGTGCACTGTTATTTTAATCAAGGCAAATCTTTTTTCCATAGATGTAGTTTTGGTTCAGCAAAAGATAAGCAAACGATAAACATAGAGCTCAAAAATAATGCACATTCAGTTCCAGAAAGTTGCACGTGTCACCCTTCCTATTACAAAAGCTTTCTCATTGGGTCTCTCCCCAACATCTTTAATTTCTGCTTCTCTAATTATATTTAAGTTTTACAACATACCTTAGGCAAGCTTTCTCGAACTTCAGCGACCAACCACCTATATACGACAAGAGATTTGGCACATTAGAGCAGTGTGTGTAGTTCAAGGATATAAAATTTTCAACTTTTTTTATGATGCACTAGTCCAGTGACCTTGGCTCTCATCATGTTTAGAGAAATTACCTTAGCATGGCATCATAACAGGAATTTAAGTTTGGGTAATTATGCACTTTGAATATTAACCTGTAAGCAAAAGTGCAATACTTCAAAGTACCTATAATCAAAATTGGGAAACAACCGATGAAGAGTGTTTACAATCAGCTCCACTGTTGCATAATCTGCAGCCGCAGTATCAGTCATGTGAGCATACTGTACCTGGATATTAGAAAGTAGCAGGGAAATGTAGAAGAGGAAAGGAAATTCTAGGCTCAGCACTTAAAATCCACATTGTGTACAATCTATAATCTTATTTACATTAATAATACAGAAATTGTAACCTTCACAGCGACTTTTTGGCCATTATGCAGCTGTGCAACATGAACTTGTGCAAGGGAAGCGCTTGCTATGGGAACAGGATCAAATTTGGCAAAAATCTGCACATAACAAAGCAAAATTTGAGCACCAGTTACCAGGGCATCAACTCTCTTCTGGGGGCTTGAGGGCATCAACTTGCCCTATTTCCTGGCCAGGAGAAGGAGAAAAAAAAAAGAAAAAAAAAAAAAAAAAAAGCTCTCTGAACTTCCCCCCCTCCCCCCCCCCCCCCCAAGGCAGCACAGCCTTGATTTGGATGTCACTAAGGGAGAGGTGGGTCCATCAGGAGGGCATTAACCTGCCTACCATCCCATCGCATTGACTGGACCAGCTGGTCCATAGGCCAATATGGATGTTTCAAGTGGAACACTATCATTCCTATAAACACAAAAACAATTTTGAAGCCTTTATAAAGAGAGGCCCAACTAAGGTTAGAGAACAAAAAAGTGGAAGCTTATAGTTTCTAAGTGTTCTTTTTCTCCACTGGCACCCTACTCTAACACTAGAAGTTTTATAGTTTTTAAATGGTGTTTTTTCTCTCATGTTCTAAAATATTTGAGAACTATCCATTTGTTTGCTGAGAAACTAACGCAGAGCATAACATAAAAGAAGAGATTAAAGTAAAGAAGTAAGTTATGGATTCAAGAAAGGAGATACACAATTTCACAAGCAATATTGGGGGGGGGGGTGAGGGGGGAGATGAACATACTTCATTTGGCATCCCTCCAAGCTCCTTCTTTATAAAATCACACACTTGATCATATGATGAAACCGGACATTTATTCAGCATAGACTCCCTCATTGTTTTTACATACTCTTCCGGCACTAGATATTCCTGAATCAGAGATGATAAAAAACAGCATCAAATATGTAGAAGCAAACAAAAATCCATACATGCCCTCTAACAGATCTATTAGAGACACTCATGCCAAAGCTTCAAATTTATCACAGCAAATTCAGTTTGCAATCGGTTCATAAATGCTAGTTAGAGAGAGTACCAATTGACCAATATGTTGACCAAGCTTAATATATATTCTCCATTTCTGAAGCATAGATCGTGGAGCTTAAGAGCACTTCTAAGATGAACTTCATGTTTCATTTTTGAATACTCAGTGCTCCCTTCTGGTAATCCCAGCAGAGATTATTCATAATCTGATCCATGCAAAAAGATGTCAGACATGTACACAAAATATTTCCAATTATTTTAAAGTTTAGATACATATGAAGTATGAGACCATATAGTTTAGTATGACCATTCTCAAGGCATAGGTAAAGAGATAAAAACTCAAGAATAAGGCCTTGTGTATTTATTAATTACATATCTGTCAAGTAATCAAGTAAAAAAGATTACCCAACAAAATGATTATATCAACAAAAGGGCACAGATTTGAATCCTAATATAAAGGCAACTCTACGTAAACACCTTGGGAAAATGGCCTTCATTACAGCATGACTCCTACCACAAACAAAAGACAATTTGTTTAACACTAGTGCCAAGCTAGGAGATATAGTAATATGTGTGCAGTTTGGGAAAAGAAATAAGAACAACAAGAAGCACCAAAACTTTTGCTGCACTCTCAAACATAAGGTTTAATGCTAGGGTAATTATATGTTAAGAATTAATCAATGGACATAAGATTTGTTCTTTGGCACATATTGCAATCTCAAACATCTAGTTCACTGATGGGCTAACAAGTGACTAATTTAACATACTGTTGGAGTTGCAATAGTTCCTAGGACATCACTCCAAACAAGGCCACTATGCACCAAGAAACAAAATTTCTGCAGCTACCTGCATAAAATTTTAACTATTCTCCATTTATCAAAAACCTAGTCCTTATTATTCATCTAAAAGAAACACCTTCATACCATTTGTAATTCATTCGCCATTTTGGTATCCTAATCTGATATCAAAGATCCAACTCTTTAAACATTCCATTGTTAAGTACTATGTTACTCAGCGCATTCAAAAGTATCATATACGGTCATCTTATGAAAAAAATTTGCATAATTTGGTCCAAAATGAGAATCAAATCCAACAAGGGTATTATTTGAGGTGAATTGTAACATACTAAAAATAATACAGATAATAGTATACACACAAGAATTAGGTTAATGAAACATTCATCTAATCATTGACGCAATTGCCAACTACTACACAAATTCATCAAAATTAAACTTCAACTCACCCAAAATCACTTAAAAACGTCAAAATTCAACAACAAACTTCTATCAATTTCCATCAAACCAAAACAAACATCCACAAATTTGACCTCATTACACAGCATACTGAAACCCTAACCCTAATTGAAATCCCTCCCCAAATCAAAACACCAAATCTATAAGAATTATAGAAGATAAGAAGAGTACCGAAGGCGATACTAGCGGCGGTGAAAGCGTCGCGAAAGAGGCGTACAGGGCCATTGGTCCACAGTTTAAACGTCACCGGAGGATAGTCGGAAGTTAAAATGGTGGCGCCGGCATTTCCGCCCGCGACGGCGGTGCCGACCGCCATAAATTTGGCCGCAACTCCCCATAAAGAACGCGTAGCCATATTTAAGACCGCGGATTATGAAATTAACTTTTGAATGAGCTGCTATTTATGGGTTTGCTGGGCATGCCCATGATATTGATAATACATTAATACGAGTATTTATTTAATTTTTTATTTTAATTATCGAATAGGTCTCTAGCCTGTTGGCTCGTTTGATGCACGAGTTGTTACTTAGGTCATTTTTATGTGTAGGTATGCTTTTCAATAGTTAAAACTTTTGATGTAAAATACGAAGTAATTGTTTCATGACCATTGAGGTGAATAAAGTTAATTGCTAAAAGTTAAAAGAAAGAGAGAGTGAAGGTGGAATTGTGGAAGAAGATGAAGGAATTTAGTTAGGTATATATACATGAATATTGTGGGATATAAAATGACATATTAGTTTAAGTTATTTTTTAGGAGATGAAAAGACAATTGTTATTGTACTTCGTATGTTTATTAATGTGTACTAATTAGTTTAGCTTATTTTATTATGGTGGAAACGAAACACTTCATTTTCTTACTTAAATTTGCTAGTTACAGAATGCATTAAGACTTTAACATTATATAATTTTTTTATTTTAAGTTTTATATCAAAAAGGAATATAAAATGGAAAGATTAAGAGAGGTGACATGTGGCATATGAGTGATTTGTGGTGACATGTATATGGGTAATTTGTGGTTTGTGTTTTTAAATACTAAGTATAGATAGATTATACATTTGTATAAAAAAAAACATTAATATCTTAAGTATACATCTATATTTATACTTATCTATTAAAAAACGTTTATAAATAAGTTTATGTGCCACGTGGCACCCTCGCCATGTCATCTTTTTCATCTATGAGCATATTCTAATGGAACATGTCTATCATGATATTTGAACTCACAACCACAAAAATATGCATTAGAAGTCTTACCATCTTATCTATTGATTAATCATGCTTTTATACTCAACTCATAACTATATATATGGATTGGAGATCTGGACATTTAATAACTGCAATTCTTCAAAACATCGATTCTATTATTTGTTAATAATACTCATCGAGGTAATGCATACAAGAAAAATTAACTATTGTTATAAATTAATTTTAGTTATTTAATTATTTTGATAATAATTATGTCCTTATTTTCACTATATTATAAATTATATACGAAGGTCATGTTTTAGGCAAAAGTTGTTCAGAAATAATTTATTCAAAGGTTTAATGAAAAACTATTATAAATAAACAAATAATCAATAAATAAATAATAAAGAATGAACCTATCTATTCAATTACAAGTCTTCAAAGTAACAAGCCGGGGCATCGCTCGGGCCACACACTAATTTGTATTAAAAAAAAAATGTACTGAGTACTTAAATTAAATTTTACTATGGAGTGTGTGAATAGTGTATTGTAAAATTTTTGCAAGTAAAAAAGGAGGAAGCAAAAAAATAAAGATAAAAACAAAACAACTTAATTGGGTAGGTAAGAACAACTATCATACTAATATAGGAAATTGAAACCTCTCTCAAGTCAATTACAAAAATAACTCGATTGTATGGTTTAAAATTAGTAGTATGTAAATGTGAAGTGGTTGTATTTTGTACTTGTATAACATTAAACCCACTTAATTTGTGTCTTTATGACATTATCAAGAAGGTGGCTCATACTTTAGTATAAATTAAGTTCCTTAGTACTTGTAACAATGGTGCTAAAAGCATGAGTAATACGAAAAATAATATTCTTAAAGGCAATCTGTTGAAAATTTTAATATTTTATTTCACATCTGTGTACATAAGATTGTTAGCTTAACTATACAAAATCAAAATCAAAACTGTATTGGACTGCATTATTAATAAACAAGGTGATCTTGAAAATTACACTAACAACTAAAATTCATGCAAAAATATAATATTTCTTCAGGAGCACAGCCTAGTCCTTAAAATCATCTCAATATCATTGGCAATAGCTATGACATCCTTTGAAATACCTTGCAGTCCCATTCTTGACAATCGAGCACAATACACATTATTATTTCCTTTCCAGTGAGTTGGAAAACGATTCTTTGGAAATCCATCTTTATTTAGTATATAATCGTAATCCTAACAAAAAAAAAAAAAAAAAAAAAAAAAAAAAAAAAAACTCATTAAGTGTTTATGCTATATTAATGTAAAATACTTATTGCTTGTTAAGATAAATATAGAAGAAAAAAAAAACCATAAAGAATATGATGATGATGACCAGTTTCCGTGTGTGTATGTTTGTGCATGTGTGTACTACTACTACGTATATATTAAAAGACTAATATTGAATAATTATTCAAGTCTCATAAGTTTGAGGTAATGTACATACCTTAAGCCATTCACAAGTCGTGCTTTTATATCCAGTAGCAAATATTATTGCATCAAAGTTTAATGCAACTTTATCTTCAAATATGATTTTGCTCTTGTTGATTCTCTCAATTCCAGGTAAAACCTATAAGTTTTACGAAAAAAAAAAGATAAAAGGTGAGAAATTGGCATATAAAGTATCAAATGATAAATTCAATGGTACTTTTTTCTAATGAGATGATTTTGTGGTACTTAGAAATTTAACCTAACTTTCTTTGGTACTATCCAACAATGAAACAACAAATTATTTAAGGGATGGAATAAGATTTCCTTAAATAATTTGTTATTTTATTATTGTTGGATGATACAAAAGAAAATGTTAACAAACAAATATTTACGAGTAGAAAATTTACCTTAATTTTTCTAGATTGAATTTCTGCAATAGTTCCCACATCAAGAACAGGGCTTCTCCCCTTTGTTGCCTTAAGTAAAAAAGGGCCTTCATTTGGTCGACAAATTCCGTACTTTGACAAATTCCAATACGTCAATCTGCTAGCAAAAGTGACTAGAGCATCCACTGTTGATAAACTAAAGTACTTCAGCAAGTGCATCCCCACAATGATCATTTCTCTTATAACCACGTGAACCTATATGATTTGATCAACAATCAATTTAATGCACATGTACACTTTATCAGCGTTCGCTATATCTATAAGATGAAAAATATGATTAAAAAAACTAACCATATTTCTGATGACAATTGAAGTGTTGGCTCCTGAATTACATAGATCATAACTAATTTCCATCCCAGAATTACCACATCCAACGACCAACACATTTTTGTCTTGAAACTCACGACTAGACTTATATTCACTGGAATGCATTATATCTCCCTTAAAATCCTTCAAACCAGGGATATTAGGGATGTAACCCTTTCCATTTTCACCTGTTGCGACAACCAAAAAACTTGCGACGAAAACTCTAGTTACTTTCACTAAAGTATCCTTAGCTTCAACTATCCACTTTCCCTTGGCTTCATCAAATGATGCAAATTCAACAGAGTGAAAGTATCGCGACCTGATATCAAAGTCAGAAACATAATTATCAATGTACTCTATGAAATCATTCTTACTCATATATTTTTTGGCATGTGGTGCATGGGGCTTATAGGATAATGAGCAAAATTATTTTGCTAGATGAAGACGGCATCGATCATATGCACGTTTCTTCCAAAGAGAAGCATAACAATCTTCTTTTTCAAGAATGATGTAGGGAATAGATTTTTTGGTTAAGCATGCAGCAATGCCAAGCCCCGCACGACCTGCTCCTACTACTAGGACTAATGTTTCCTCCATATATGTTCTTTTAAGTAATTAATTATTTTGATTTGCAAAAGAAGATGTATATTCAAAGGATAAAATGACTTTGAAATTGGTATGTATTTTCTGACTTGAGGGGAAATTTAAGACTAAATAGTGTGTTTGGGATTACCCCTCGAGATTGTTTAGTAAATATATAGAGGATTATAAAGGGTTGTACTGTAATATAAGATTTTTTAAAACATATAGACAACCTTCATATGGAATATGACAATTAATTAATATTGGTGGCATTTCCTTTCTATGATGATTTTGGTATCGTTTGAGAGGAGCACAATGGCATGTGGTGTTAATTATACTAAAAATTTTGAGTTAATTTGACTTCCTAATAATTACAACTAACACATAACGTACTAGGTCATAGTAAAAAGTAATGTATCCAAAAGGTATTCCTATATTTAATATGAACAATATGACAATTAGTATTGGTAAAATTTAATAAATCATTTCTGTGATGAGCTGGGTATTGTTTGGAGGGAGCGCATTGGCATGTATTGTTACAAAAAAAATTTGGGGTAATTTGGCATCCTGAAATCTACCACAAATAACTTGCTAGGATGTGCAAAAAACTTAGAATACAAAAATCATTTTCTAAATTTAATATGAACACAAAATAGTAAAGTAGTAAACGACTATATGTATTATTGATTTCATTTTTCATTCACATTTTTATAAAGTCTAAATGAGCTATACAAATTTAGCCATTAATCAATCCTCTAAATCTTTCAGTTCTTACTTTGCATACAAGTGTTACATAATTAATATTTATATTTTCATATTGAATTAAATTAAAAATGGAAAAGTTTGTAGGTAAAAATGCACTAAGTTTTACTATTTAAGGAAATTCATTTAATGCAAATTTGTAATTTTTTTATTGTAAGATAAGATGCCTAATTATCTATCAAAGGTCATGTATGTATATTTGATTTGCTACAGCCATGGATTAGCTAAATTAAATGTCTTGTATATCTAAGTAGACACTACAAGAAAACAACTTAATTTCGACGGAAATATTCCGTCGAAAACATAGGAAAATCCGTCGGAATAAGGCCTTTCGACGGAATTCCGTCGAAACAGTTCTGTCGCAAAACAAATTGTAGGAAATTCGACATTTTCCAAGGGAAATTCCGTCGGAAGACATTATTCCGACGGAAATTTCGACGGAATTCTGTCTGTCGGACCTGAAATTGACTTTAAACGTAATTCCGTCGCAAAGTTCCGAGGAACTGAATTCTGTCGAAAAGTTAAATCTTCCGACGGAATAATTCCGTCAGAATGTTATATCTTCCGACGGAATTATTCCGTCGTAAGTAATATTATTCCAACGGAAAG